ACCAAATGGCGGAGGAAACGGTGACTGGGAGACGGGCGATGTGATCTGTGGCGACATGCTCTTGAAGTCATTCGGGGAGTGCGCTGTGCTGTGGCCACTGTCCACATCCCCCAGGCTCTGCAGCCGCTCCGAATCGGGGCTGGAGTCTTCATCCATTAGATAGCCGCACTTCAGCGAGAGGAATGAGCGTTGTTGTCCGGTGCGCGGTGCAGCCAAGGGACCTCCAATGATTCCGCCGCCTCCAGTTCGAAACTCATCGGCCAGCGATCCGTAGTTAGTGCCACCTAAAAGATGCAGAATGGAAGCTGCAACAAGGCCATGAGTGGGGTAAGATTTCAGCTACGAATGGGGCAAGGATTCCCTCTACTTACATTTCTGGTTTTTTGGTATCTCGGGCAACTTGCGACGTCGCCGTGTGGCTGCCGCATTCGGAGTCAACAGATCCGTGCTGGCGCCAATGGTCACGGGGGCCGACTAGAGAGCATTGGGGGCCATTCCCATGATGCCGCCAATGGCATCCTGATGGTTCAATGGGTGATGCCGATGTGAGTTGAACGAGTCGTTTGTGTCGAGAGAACCGTCCGATGAGAGTGTGACTTTGAGACCATCCCCCAGCTCGTCGTCCTCCACTTGGCGCAGCTTGGGCTCACGTTCACGTTCCGCCATGCCCATGCCCCCAATGCCATCCTCCTGGTCCGAGCCATCGCCATCGCTCTTCGAGGAGGTGGAGTCCTCCATATCATCGTTGGGAATTAAACTGAGGCAGAGTAGAGGAATTGTTTTGAGGACAGAATATTGAAGGACAGAACACGAGAGAATAACATCTTGAAAATTCGATATTTCAAAGAATGTTATCCAGAGGTTCTTTCGGAGCCACGTGTTTCGTTCGGGGAAAAAAAGACTTTTCTTTTTACTTACGAGTAAAATGCATGGGAATTATTTTTATACCCGATACTCAAAATGAGTATTGGGGTATATTAGATTTGTGGTAAAAGTGGATGTGTGTAACGTCCAGAAGGAATCGTTTCCGACCCTATAAAGTATATATATTCTTGATCAGCATCAATAGCCGAGTCGATTGAGCCCTGTCTGTCTGTCCGTCTGTCCGTCCGTCCGTCTGTCCGTCTGTCCGTCCCCTTCAGCGCCTAATGCTCAAAGACTATAAGAGCTAGAGCAACGATGTTTTGGATCCAGACTTCTGTGATATGTCACTGCTCCAAAAATATTTCAAAACTTTGCCCCGCCCACTTCCGCCCCCACAAAGGGCGAAAATCTGTGGCATCCACAATTTCGACGATACGAGAAAACTAAAACGCAGAATCGTAGAAGATGACTATATCTTCTAGAGTGCAAAATCTGAACCAGATCGTATAATTATTACAGCCAGAATCACGAAAACAATTTCACTCTTTCTCGCTCTGTCTCACTCTAACACACAGGTTTCATGGTCGGTTTTGCCAATTGCAAAATATGAGTTCAAGGATCTCAGAACCTATAAAAGCCAGAGCAACCAAATTTGGTATCCACACTCCTGTGATATCGGACCTTGACCGTTTCCTGTCCAAATTTCGCCACACCCCCTTCCGCCCCCGCAAAGGACGAAAATCTGAGGCAACCACAAATCTCAGAGACTATTAAGGCTAGAGTAACCAAATTTGGTGCACACACTCCTTTAAGATGTCACTATAAAACGTATATCTCAGAATTTCGCCCCACCCCCATCCGCCCCCACAAAGGACGAAAATCTGTTGCATCCACAATATTGCAGATTTGAGAAAACTAAAAACGCAGAATCATAGATAATGACCATAAAATAATATTTTTTCTAACCAGATTTGGCAGATTCATTAAGTCATTATAATCATATATCACCTATTTAAGTAGGTTTCCATTAGGTTCAGTTCGAAAATTACGCACTAATGAGTGCTATTACCGGGGCTACCCCGTTTCCTATCAATCAAATTCTGTATCACATATTGAACAAAAATCAAGTTCAAACTAACGTTCATCGTAGTAGCCCGTAAATTATTGTAACAAGTAACATAGGTTTCCAAAATTCATAATTCAATCGGCAGTAGAGACGGAAAGGTTAAACAAAATAAATAATTCAATCGGCAGTAATAATCCAAAAATATTTTTGAAGAATATATTGAAAAAAAATCAAGTTCAAACTAACGTTCATCGTAGTAGCCCGTAAGTTAGTGTAACTAGTAACATTGGTTTCCAAATTTCATAATTCAATCGGCAGTAGAGACGGAAAGGTTAAAAAAAAATTTATAATTCAATCGGCAGTAATAATACAAAAATATTTTTGAAGAATATATTGAACAAAAATAAAGTTCAAACTAACGTTCATCGTAGTAGCCCGTACATTTTTGTAACAAGTAACATAGGTTTCCAAATTTCATAATTCAATCGGCAGTAGAGACGGAAAGGTTAAAAAAAATTTAAAATTCAATCGGCAATAATAATACAAGAATATTTTTGAAGAATATATTGAACAAAAATCAAGTTCAAACTAACGTTCATCGTAGTAGCCCGTAAGTTATTGTGACAAGTAACATAGGTTTCCAAATTTCATAATTCAATCGGCAGTAGAGACGGAAAGGTTAAAAAAATTTATAATTTAATCGGCAGTAATAATACAAAAATATTTTTGAACAATATATTTTTGAAGAATATATTGAACAAAAATCAAGTTCAAACTAAAGTTCATCGTAGTAGCCCGTAAATTATTGTAACAAGTAACATACGTTTACAAATTTCATAATTCAATCGGCAGTATAGAAGGAAAGATGCCTCGCCGCCGAGCTTCACGTCGTAAGCTGATGACCAAGACAGCTGACCAAACGGAGGCTCAAACCATGTCCGAAGCTGCTCTGGAGGAGACCGATGAGCTTGAGAAGTGCGCTAATCAAGTGGACACTAATACCATGGGGGAGGGTGAGTGAATGCAAATGATTGGTAATACATTAACGCAATACACACCATATCCTTTTCAGGTACCGAGCCCCCACACAGCCGAGCTCGCAGCAGCTCCCCTGATCGCGAACGTTGCGGCAGTCCCCAGGGCTCCCAGGGCTCCCTGTCGCCGCACTCCCTCGAACAATCGTTGGACCAGGATAACCCCTTTGATGTGCCAGCCGTAGTGTTCGAACGTTGGCCGCGCGCCGATGAGTTGGTGCTCTCCGACGCCGGCAGCCCGCTGGCTTTCAAGAAAAACTGGGATGACTGTGCTGATGTGTACATTTACTGCGAGAGTGGCGTGATCACCGTGAGGCCCTACAAAATGACCGTGCCCAGTAAGCACATTATGATGCAACTGGACGAGAAGGCACTCCAGCAAGTGAAGATCTTGCATGCCCATCTGGAGCTGCTTATTGACATGGCCACCAAGGTGGACGAGATGTAGGATATATGGGGATCGAATTAATAATTACAGACAGCTACACTTAACACTTACATACTTCATACGTCAATATTCGACTCCTTCATTATCATATTTTAAGTGGCTCTGTTCAAGTGTTTCTTGGTTGTTCTCTTGCTTCTTGGTTGTAAAATTAATTAATACACTTAAATACTTTTAAATAGATGTGTAAATAAATATCTATGTTTGAGCTCGCAGAAGTTTCTTTTCGTCTCAATTTGTTTTCTAATTTAGATTTTTTAAACATGTTGCTATTGTGTTGCATGTGTCTCCGTGAGTGTGAAAAAGAAGAGAATGGCATGCCCGATTGGCCCCGACTGAAGGAAATATCCTTGATTCCTAGACTCCATCAAATCAGGGACATCTTTTCGTGGCACGCCAGGATCGGCCCACAAATAACGGAGCTGAGGGTTTTGGCTAGCCCAAAAAGTATGTTTGATATTTTGTGAGTGGGCCATGCCAGCCCAGAAGTATGTCATACTTTGGGGACTGTACACAGTAGTAGAGTTTAAGCGAGCGGGAACTTTGTGAGCCGCGGCAAGGGCCACGGCTTTACTGAACTCAATTAGTATATACAAATGTGAGCTTATGATTGATGTTATTTATACAATAAATTTTATATGTGGTTGTCACTGTTCGCAAAAGGGGCCAATTGATTTTTTCCCACGAACAATTTTCATAGTAATCGCTCGAACCGTTTTTATATATATTCGATTTGATCGGTTTTCATTTTCTTGAAATTTTGCTTAAATCTTTCTCTTCTTTTCTATTCTCTCACAAACAACAGCCGTTTTATCTAGTTCCCTTTTGCCAGAGTATGCACATTGCACGAGGATGAGTGAGATAGAGCGATAGAGAGAATTAGAGGGCGCGTGGAAGGGGAGCTCAGCCGCGGCAATTTCTTTTTTCCTTCCGATCTAATACAGATTCGGCAATCTGCTAGATATTCTCCAGTAAGGGGCGTGCCAGGTCCTTTTTGATCGGCTTGATCAGCTGGAAAGGAAAGTAAAGGACAATTTGCTTGGTTTTAATATAGATTTTCTTTATATATTTCTTTGTATACATATATATTCGAGTGTATGCACACAACTGCTTGGATTAACACATCCTAAAACTGGGCTTTGAATGATGCTCGTAATACTTAGGGAGTTTGAGGATGGGGTCTTGGGATTATTGAGCCTCGTAACAGAGAGAGAAATCGAAGTAATTATTTGTTAATTTGGGACACTACTTTGGCCTCACTGTGTTTTGTGCTGAAATTGGGGCTGTCCAAAGTGTTTACAGGAGTTCAAGTTATTTGTGGTGTTGTGTGATATCCTGGGTCCTCGTTTATAAAGTGTGTTCTTAGAAAGGGAAGCTATTACTGATTGCCTTGAAGCGGTTTCAAGAGTGGGATTTACAAACCTAAAATTAACTATTTACATGTCTCGGATGTTGCACCATTTGTAGGAACAGATAAATCATATATGTATTCAAATTTTGAATGGAGCTTGCGGGATTATACAAATTGGTTATAAGTTTCTTATTTTGATGAAGGGGCAAACATTTGTTGTAGAATTTTATTTGTATTATTTAATAACCGCACAAAAAATACATCGTATGTTCATCGTGCCCGATCCTACTCGATGTAGATGTCCTCGATGGGATAAGCAGTTTCAATGAATTTCTGATAGAAACGCTGAAAGGCCCGTCTGAGGAAGGATACAAGAATATATGTTAAGGTTTATCTTTGTGAGCATTTGATTTGAATGAAAACATTACCCAACTGCCTCGGCCACTGGCCTGGTGGACTCTGAGCCCTTGAAGACGTGGCAGGCAAAGCGCTGCACTGTGGGATGCTTCGTAATGAAGCCAATGAAGCGATGATCGCGAGGGTGAAATGCACAGAACGAGACGTTCTTTAGCGAGTAGAAATAGTCGATGCAGGGCTTCTTTTCCTTTTTGTTCTAAGGGGAGAACAAACACAAAGGCTTCCTGAAGGATGACTCATTAACAGTTAGAGCGACATTCAGTACTTACATTGGGGCCCGAACGATCCACCATGCGTAGTCCCTGATCGGAGACCTCCAGAATACAGGTCTGTCCGGTGGGGGAGGCACCGTATTCGCCCACGATTTTGCGTACCGCTTGACAGACCACGCCGGTGCCCTTGTGCGCCAGCGTCTCCACGGATCCGAGGTATC